GAACAATTACAATCGGATTGAATAACTACAATTGTTCAATTACAGACTCCGGTGTTCTTTCATCTCCGACATATATTATATTTGGCTCGAACATTGTACTACGGTCTATGCCCGTAATATTTACGTTTGGTCTGATCATCTACTACGGGCTATGCCCGTAGTTGTAGGTTAAGGGGTTAATTGGCGTAGGAGGCTTAGGAGCCGAATTGAAAGCACGACGGGAGGAAGGACCGTAGTCAGGGAGAAAAGAGAGAGAACTCCAAGGAGTAGGAGCGAGATTATTCTTGTTAAAGTGAAGCGGGATAACAATTGCAAATGTTTATTCCTATAGGGAGGACGTTGGGGGCGAAGAATGCCCTGAAGGAGACAACTGGCGTCAGGAAGACGAGGACTGGGCACATCCTTATTGAACTAAATAACAAGGTAACGGTTGGGCAGGTTGCGGAAAACCTGAAAAAGGCGATGTGTCCGGGGATGGAAATTGTACCTTTGGCGAATAGGGAGACCCTGGAAATCAGGATTATTGATCCTGTCGCCACAAAGGAAGAATTGGCAAACAACATATCCACTGAACTGAACATAAAGGAAGAGAGATGGATAGAGGTGAAGCCCCTAAGGGATGACGCCGTGGGAAACCCAGCAGGCGGTGGTTGTGCTGTCTGCGAGTACTGTTCCCGGGGACAGACCGACGATTAAGATTAAAACGGGATTGGCAATTGCGTCGGCGAGGATTCTGCCCAACTTAGTGAGATGCTATAAGTGTCATATGCTGGGGTATACTGCAGCCAGGTGTACGATAGTGAGCATTGTGAAGAATTGTGCAGATGATGTGAGGACAAGGACCATACCATAAACCAGTGCACGAAGGAACCAAGGTGTGGTATCTGCCTGAAGGAAAATAAGAATACCCTGAGGTATATTACCGGGTCCCAGGAGAATCCTGTAGTAAAAGAGAGGACGAAGAGAGGCAATCCTAGCAGAAGATGAGGATTTTGATAATAAACTTGAATAGGTGCAGGCTTGCACACGAATTGATGTACCAGTATGTCTGCGAAGCAGGAGTAGATGTTGTATTCATATCGGAGCCTTATAGGCAGCAGATATATTGGTACAACGACGACAAGGGTGATGCGTCATTGTAGGTGACGCTCTTCAGAGGGAAACAATCAGAGATTGATCTCAAGATATGGAATCGTAGGAGTCAGCGTGGACAATGTGCTTTGCATTGGGGGTTATTGCTTTCCCTATGTAAATATGAAACAGTTTAATAGCTATGTCCAGGTGTTGGACACTCTGATTCAGGCGGCCAAGAGGAGTTACCCAGCAACGATGATATCCGAAGATTATAACTCAAAGGCCACCGCATGGGGAGTCCATGTAAATGTAAATGAAATGAAATGGCAGATAAACCAGACTCTTGAACATGTTCGCGAAGAATGTGATCGTCCCGATCCGGTTGAACGAAGATCATGAAGGAAGAGGCGAACAATAAATTAAGTACAACATTGGGCGGGATCGTGCGGTGATATGCCGGAAGACCGACTAACGGGTAAGCGGATCCCCAAGGTAATCGAGATAAACGTGGAGGGGCCCCTTCTAACCACGAAGTAGAAGATTAGATACCTTGGGGAACAGGTAGATAACTACAGAAGGTTCGGGGCTCATTTGTTGAAAGTGTGCAATAGGACAGATACCCTTATGGGAGCATTGAGATCGTTACTGCCCAATGTTAACGGTCCCACCAACTCTGCAAAGGAGCTCTATTCTGGAGTCTGGAAAGTCTGGTCGGTGGTGTTCTGTGTGGCGCCTGTATAGGCCAAGACGTTAGTAGTGAAGAAGAACAGAAACACTTTTAAAAGGGCGCCAGGGGCCGTATTAATAAGATTATCTACGGCTTATCCGCACAGTGTCCCACGCAGCACTGTGCGAGCTTACAGGTACCTTGCCCATTTTCTATGCGGTCGAGCTCCGGGTCGAGAAGTATCCGATGAAGAAGGAATATCTACAGTCATATACGATATCCGTTCCAGAGAAGACACAGTCTTGTATGAAAGGATCAAGGCTCTGGAAGAACGTATGGAGCGTATTGGAAGGAGGAGGACAACTGGACGAAGAGGCTGGTAGAGGACATCTCTATATTCAGGAAGCACAGGAGGTATATTGAGCAGTTTACTATGCAGATCCTGATCCTTATGCGCACCCACGAACCCGAAGCCAAGGGTGGGACCATCGGGGTAAGCTCAGGACCATCAGTGGTAAGACGGACCATCGGCGTTGACCGATGCCCGTCGTCTTGGGCCCTCGCTGACGTAAGTTCCATCTGGAACTGTCGAGTTCGGTTGGCAGGATCTCCGACCGACAGTGACCTGGCTGTCCATCCACACCGCTAGTCCTACCAATGATTGAAGTTGGGATCACCGTCGTCGAGTGAATCCCGGAGAAATTTGCGATCCCTCAATTCGGCCAATTTGAGATAGATTCATGGAGGTAGTGGTTGAAGGCCAAATGTTGGACAGATGGCCGATATGGTGTACTTGGCATCCGCGATGGCCGTCGGCGAGTGAGCAGCTTCCTAACTGCTCCGAAACCGCCCGGGAGAGACGGTAAGGCTAGGAAAGGAGCCCCGTTCGACCTGAGATAAATGAAAGCCCCTGCAAGCCTAACTAATACAGGTAGCAAGTCTGGGTGCCGAGTGCGCTGGTTAGGTGTGATCACAACCCCATGGCCCTAGGGGTGCCAGGGTCCGGTATGGAGACTTTGCCGAGGTACGGACCTGTAACTGGAGCTGCTACTGCGGCAGATACTAAATGTACCGAAGGATGATCAGGAAGGTAGTACGCTCCCGCTGCTGGTACTGCAATAGTGACAGTGACGGCGCCGAACATGCGCTGTTCTACTGCCCCAGGTGGATAAGGGAAAGGAACGAATTGAAGAATCACGTCGGTACATCAATGGCAATTGACAATTTGATCGCGCTGCTAGTGAAAAAAGAGGACAACTGGACTAAGTTCCAGGTTTTATGTAATAAAATAATGAAGTCCAGGCTTGCGCAAGAAGAAATCGAGGAGGGGAAAAGAAGATGATAGAATAAGACTGAATAAGAGAGCCCATCGCGGCAATAACATCTTTGTCACCTGGTCTCAAATGATGAACGGACTTGGGAACTTTGGGAGTCCTACCACCTAAAGGTTTTAGAATAAAAGATTTAGGATACTCAGTTCCTGGAATTATATCGAGCAATTACAACAAATACTTACAATTGTACCAAGCTACGGTAATGAATCTATTTATTTAAATATAATGACAACTTAAAAATATGGCGATAAAATATTAATTGGAGATAGAAGGATCTGCCATGTTTCAATACGAAACAGCCACTGCCAGTGTTTCTAATGGAACTTGAACCGAAAGCTCATAACAAAGAAATTTGACATTACAAAAATCCTAAACATAATAGTAACAATCGAGCCACGTTATATGTAGGACATACCGCAATACATACAGTGTCCACAATACGGACACACTGAAAACTATTCCAACAGAAACCCGGAGAATGTCAAATGTGAACGAAACCACCTAACAATAAACTGCCCATACACAGGAAAGATAAACGAAGTAAAATGCTATAAGTGTAATGGAAACCACCTAGTAAGCTATAAAGCCTGCGAAGTCAGAAAGCAACTACAACGAAAACTGTTTCCATAGCTTCGAAGTAGACCATGCGGCAACTAGCCCACCCAACAAGAAATTGCAGAATCAGAGCCAACACCAAATGTAGCGAACACTAACCATAGAAACATGAACACCTTTGGTATCCGAAGTTATGCGCAAGTAACTAATCAAACTCTACCCTTAAACAACCAGAACCAAAACGACAAGTATAACGACGCTACAGAAATCAAGGAATTCCTCAAGCAATGCATCAGAAACACCGAAATGGCAACAAGAATGATAAGTGAGCAAAACGCAATACTCAGACAATAAACACAACAAATTACAGTTATGCTACAACTACTTACAAACATGTTAGGTAAAAAATAGAAATGGACATGCTGAAAATTGCAGCTTGAAATACCAATGGCCCACAACAACGGGCCTTCGAATCTAATACATTTCTGTAGAACAATAATATTGACATATTACTTGTTTCAGAAGTTCATTTCACACCAAAAAGCTACATGAAAGTACCATATTACACCATCTATGATACCAAACACCCTCCAGGAAAAGCACACGGAGGGACCGCAATGATAATAAGAAACGACATTAAACACCACTTACACAGCCAAGTTAGTAAGGGATATACAAGGTGGCTGGTAACTGGTGATACAAGCGGAAAGGGAGTGATTCTACGCGAAACAAGAAATCGAAAATTTGATCAGTAGTTGCTCGCTTGGAGTGACACATAGCGGGCCAGGTCCCAGGTTGGCACGAAAGCCAGTACGGCTTCCGAAAGAGACGCTCGACGATCGACGCGGTCAGACGCGTGCGGACACTGGCAGAGGACAGAGTTTCCCGGAACGACGTGGCGGCGCTGGCGGTTTCCCGGGACATCGTCAACGCGTTTAACTCCAGGCCGTGGGACAGGATACTGACGGCCCTGGAGCACTTCGAGGTTCCCAGCTACCTCGTCCGACTGATCCGGGCCTACCTCGACGACAGGTGGATTTGCTACAGCAGCAAGGAGGGAGAGGAAAGGAGGAACACAGATTCCCCCAGGGCTCGGTGCTGGGACCGACACTGTGGAACATTGCGTACGACGAGGTACTGCGATGCCCGCTGCCCCCAGGCTCGGCCATGGTGTGCTACGCGGACGACACCCTGGTCCTGGTCGGGGGTCGTGGCTGGCACGAGACACTGCGCATCGGCGAAATCGCAACGGCCTGCGCAATCCATGCCCTGCGCGGACTGGGCCTGAGGGTCTTCCCTGCGAAGTCAGAGTCCACCTGTTTCTACGACAAGAAGCGGCGGGGACCCCACCGCCCGGCCTATGCTTAAACATGGCAGGCGAAACCGTCCAGGTGAGATCGCAAATGAAATACCTGGGTCTCGTCATCGACAGCCAGTGGACGTCCGAGCCACACGTCGACTGCCTGATTCCGAAAGTGTCGGTGGCCGCTAATGCCCCATGCGGCCTGCTACCGAACATCGGCGGGGCGGGAGACGCGGTGCGCCGACTTTACGAGGGCGTCATTCTGTCCCGAGTGATGTACGGGGCCCCGGTATGGGCGGACGACCTGATGGCGAGCCGCCGCAGCATCCTGTTTCTGAGGAGGCTACACAGGGTAACGGCCATCAGAATCATTAGGGGATACCGGACGGTGTCTCACGCGTCGGGGACCGCCCTAGCCGCGTCCCCCCCGTGGGAGCTAGTGCTCAAAAAGTGATACACCCACCGGAGAGTATGGCATCCGGGAGAAGATCCGACCGAGCAGGCGGCTTCGAATGGCATAGGAACCGCTGAGGAGGACACGTGGGACGGGTGGCGATCCCAGCTGATTAACGAGGGAGGTGAACATCGGGGCGCGGAGGCGGTCCTCCCAAACTGGGAGGCATGGAGAAGCCCCTGCGGCACGCCACAGGAGAAACTCCCACCCCTGCAGGATGAGACGATGGAGAAGGATGGCAGTCAGGCGACCTAGAGCTGCCCCAACGTCGCGCCAACGGACCACGCCTGAAGGAGCGCAGCGCTAGGGGCAAGGACCCCCCTAACGCCAGCTCAATAGACGGAAGATACTAGGACCGGCTCGAACAAGAGGACGCGGGAAGAGAGCGCAACGGAAGTTAATTCATTGAGGTTCCTGGAGCACCCCCGTCGCACGCGTAGGAGTTTTAGTCGGTAGGAGTCCGACACTACTCTGCTGCTACGCGTCCTGCAGCAGCGGAGTGTCCATGAGGATTTCTCCACGCATAAAAAAAAAAGGAAAGAAAAAAAGTCTAGCACACAAAATTATGCATATCTCAATAATAATAAATAGGTGTATAAAATATATAGTAATATCTAAGAACACTTTATGTGAGTATAATTCCAAATGCGAATTAAAAATGTGCATATATGCACCTATATCTTGCTAAGCATGTGTCTCGCCCTACGCAATGTGTTAAAAAAACCTCCTGAGATATCGTGACTGTTCCTGAGTAATTTCGAGAAAATCATACAAAAAAAGCGGAAGCGTTGGTGAAGAATATCGTAAATTCTTCATTGTGAATGAACTCTCCACTATTACCTTGATACGTAACATAATTTAACGACTTTAGGAATTTGGTAAAAGAGTAGAATAGTTCTGGAAAGACAAAATCATTTAAACATCCAAGGAGAAACGTTAGAGGAATTATAGAAACATAAAGTTGAAGATAATCGTAGACATAGTTGAACTTCTTTCCTTTATTTACTGTATTGCCTGTTATTTAAAAATGTTTTATTTAGTTCTAACGCGAGTGATTTGGATATATTTCGTTTATTAATATACCCGTTTAGAGATAATTGGTAGAAAATCAAATGCGACGATTGACGAAGCACCAGTAGAGGTATGCCACGAATTAGAGCGGTTATTTTTGCGCAGGAAACGATGTTACAGTTTAATCAATTACCATCCATGTCAATATTTCTCATTTTCCAAATTGTCTCATTTATTATTCTATATGGTTGTATATTATTTACCAATATAACGTGTATGTTGTCTGCGCAGCGCAATAATACCTCAATTTGTCATGATAAAAGAATCAATTCTAATAACTACATTAGTTGATTTCTCACGATTCCTGTGAAATCTTGAAGATACAGTATTTAGTATATTATTTAGTATATAATTAAATTCTCAAAAAGACTAGCATTACCGACATGGAGATATTCATTTTCAAAGTTGAAAGTTTTATCATATAGTCGATTTCGATTAAGATAGTAGAGGTGGTTGAAATGAGATACCAGCTTAAATATACATTTTATTCCCACATCGTTTCCTCGAAGAATATAAGGTGAAAGGATGACTAACAAGTTGAAATGTATACTGTTCGAAGAGATGATCGCAAGTGAAGTTATATTCTGTGAAGGCGGTATTCATACGGAACTAGTGATGGGTGCTGGTCGCCCCACTAACGTGAGGAACATAACAAACATTGAACACGAGAAAAATCCGCCTTTCCCATTTTTTACCGGGTTGAACAATAATCCCAATGTACTTGGCGATTTGAAAGATGCTTTACAGCAATCAAAGCCCTTGATGGTAAAGTAAAAATGCTTAATTTTATGGCCGTTCCTTCGGATTATTGCGGTTCGATTAATTATATTTATACAGCTGGTGACTATCTTGACCGAGGGATGGATTCTGGTTTATGTAAAGTGTAACAGGACGTAACGTCAACCCCAGTGGAGAGGGTACCGATCAAATCTTCTGTGAATGTAGAATTATTTGGATCTCCCACCCAAATCCCTCTCGATTGGTGGTTGTCCGGATTCCGCTGGATCGGGTTGGGTCGGTAGTAGGACTAGTCGTTTGACGTCTCGATCCAAATGCTCGTTGTCGTCTGAACAGTGGCCGACCGGATAATGGCGTTGGAGCCTGGATGGACCTTGATGACTCGGCCCAAGGACCACTACATTGATGGTACGTGATCTTCCCTGATGATGACGATCGTACCTTCCTGTATGCCGTTACTGCCCCTGCTCCATTTTCTTCAACTGGTCAGCTCGTTTCGATACTCCTGATGCCACTAGCTCCAAATGTGCTGCTTGAATTATTGTAAGCGTTTCCAGCTGGATAGACAGTTAGATGGAACGTTCCTGAAATCTCACTCCCGAAAGTTCGTTAATGAATCGCCAATAAGAAAGTGGCCAGGAGTACGGACAAGGAGGTCATTGGGATTGGTGGAAATTGGAGTCAGTGGCCGAAAATAGAGAATTGATTCGATTACGATAATGAGAGTTGCGACTTATGATTTTGACAGGATGATTGGATGTTTCTGATGGAATGGCATCGGCGAGTGGCTGAGTCGACCCCCGACTCGCAATATCACTTCGACGTCGAGAAAAGGGTTGAGCGGCTGGAGCTTCCCCCTAACAGCTGTGTCTCGATTTTTTTGTAGAGTAGAACTCGGTAACTAACTGTAACTAAAACTGTATCTAATGTAACGAACACGTAACTCGCATTTGTCTGCGATTACATTATTTTCGTCCAATGAAACCAAACAAAATATTTATGAGAAATTCACGTGTCCGACACAAACATGGAGGGGCGAGAGCTTCGTCGAAGTAAACGTTCCCACTAACTAAAAACAAGTATGTACATACACATGAATGCTTTTGGCTCCCATTGATACTTCTTTAATAAATACTTTATCGAATGAACGTCGTTTATAATTACAGGACGCTAAAATGATGTGTCAAATTTCCAAGTCAGTATGACAGTCACATCGGGCCACAAAGGTGTAAAAGGTACATTATCTTTTCTTATCTTGCCTATGTTGTATCTAGCTATTTGTCTGTCTGACTTACAGTGGTTATCATCTGATTATGTTCTCTTTTCAGCCGGTAGGTGGCACCGTTTTACCATTCCTTATCTTATTAATTTTTCTCATATTATGGTACCGATCTGCCGTTTCTGTTTATCGCTTTTGCGTTGATCGTTTATCGCTTTAGCCTCTTATTTTTCTGAACAGTTTCAACTTGCTTTCAAACTGCTTTTTCTCTCACTTTCTTTCTGTATCTTTACTTTCTCGGATTAATCACTTCTTTCTCTTACCCTTTTAGTACTACTCCATCTTTTTCATTAAACCATGAAAGCTACAATTTTATCTTTCTTCCTTTATTAACACGTTGTTACGACCGTTCGCGGAGAGACATGGTCGCGAGGAAAACGCGTCAGCGAGAGGCGTAAATTCTCGCTACGATTCTGCTAATCGACGCCGCGAATTAGTCGTTTCCCTGTTTCGATTAAGATAACAGAGGTGGTTCAAATGAGTTTAACACTGGATTAACAGGGTTAATATAAACTTGTACATTACGGAGTGATAATCGGCTTCGAATTGTTTATCACATTGGAATCGACGGCAGAGAGATGCGAGTCGCTTCATCGCCATAGCTTTAGAGGATCCAAGCGAGGGAGTTGTTTCGTTAAATGGGAGGGCGACAATGTATCGCCCTTCGTTGGTGCGTTGGACGTGATTTCGAAAGTGTTTCTCGCATTGTCGTTCCGCCTCCGAAATGTGTGAAGTGGGCGCACCTTCGTCGATTTCTCGAAAACGGGCGGGATTTGCCTGTAAAACCGTCCTGGAGGCGTGAAATGTGTGTGTTGACGATTGCGAGGTTGGGCTCCCGCCGATGATCCATCCGAATCGCATTTTTTGTAGACCCAAGTCGGGCCCGTTTGATTGACTGATATCAAGTTGACCGACGCAGAGTGATGCTAGCGTTGGTCCGGCGCTCAATAAGATTTCGATCGGAGCAGGTCTATGAAATCTTGGATCGGCTAGTTGGAGATTCCGAGGTATTTGTATCGTTGAGCGATCTACGGGTTGATCTGGGACCCAAGTCGGTATCGTTGATATGATTAGGAACGTCAAGGTGCGTTCGTATGTGCCGTCAATGGAGGTGATCGTGGCCGTGATATAGCGTTTCGAGGTCGTCGATAACGTGTTGAGGGTTCCGATTTGGACCGAACACTTCCGTTGGTAGAGTTCATGCTAGAGCCGGTGTCTAGCTGAGCTCTACAACGGAATGGTTGAATTTTATTATTTAAGATGTTGGCCTGCGCTGTGACTAACAAATCGTGATGTAGTGATTCAGAAGGAAGCGAGGTTAGTGAGTCCATTTTCTATGATTCGGTCCCTAGCAAAGACGTCTGATGCCGTCATTGCTTTCCTTGTCGTTTAGGACTGGACGATATGTTTGATCCGGCTACATTTGTTCGCGATAAGCGAGATTCGCGTTTCGGTGACGTTCGAGGAGACGTTCGAGGAGACGTTCGGGGAGACGTTCGGGGAGACGTGGATGCTTGTCTCGAACGATGTGACGAACGAGGGGACGGTGAACTAGGTGATGATCGTCCGTTGGATGATCGGCCGCTCGACTATCGATCGCTCAATGATCGGCCACTATATGTTCGTGTTTTTATCGCGGTTGATGTTGAGTTTGTCCTATCGCCGTTCGTGTGTGTTTTAAGAAAGTCTACCAAGTGCGTGTATGACCGCAGTTTTTGTCAGGTAATACGCGTTGCCACTTGCGAGTGGTGGCGGAGGGTAGCTTCGATATGAATAATTTAATCAGAACAATATTTGATGTTACTGGTTCACCTAGTTTCTCTAAAGCTTGAAGATTTACTTTGACCGTCTCGAGAAAATCATCTACGGCCTCGGGTGTCTCCTTGGTTATTTTCGTATAGTCAAAAAATAG